CTGGGTGATTGATTTGCGACCAGGCCTGCATATGAATTCGCCAAGGTTGTAAGCCAGGGAGCCCGTGCATTTTGTTATGCGGTCATATTTGAAAATGTAGATAAAGGAAAGGGAAAACCCGCAGCTCTCCTTCCACTCAGATAAACAGTACAAGTCGTGTTAAATTTATTTACATAACTAAACAAAATGATTATAGGATTAAACCTTAAGAATTGAATGCTCATTTTCCACCTTAAATACACACGTGTTTTTCAGAAGGGAATTTAGTCGATCTKTTTTCACRATGGAATTTTGTTTTGAGTCGTTTCGACATAAACAGAAGCTATCAAGCCATTACACGAAAAACCCCAGTCACCGTTCTAGCTCTCGTTGTAAGGTCAAAGCTAGTAAATGTGTAACTGATCTGTTACATAACGTCAAATCGTCGAGCACGCTTGCGGCTTATTGCCGAAAATGCGACAAAGGATGAACTACGACCGTTGTTTGTACCACAAATAACAAACGAATACGTGGACCTAACTAAGCTGCTCTAGCTCTTCCAGTGATGTTGTAGATTGTGTAGATACCTCAAAGCTTAGAGGAAACAAGAGCTAAGAAAAAGGATTTGAAATGGTTCCTCCTAAGATACTTTGTACTTGAACATCGCTTCTGACGACCTTCTGAAGTCTTCGTGAAGTCGGCCATTGCTTCRCAWGYAATGRAGAACCCGCGTRKAACACAGAACAATTATTTTTATCAGGGAGGGGAGTCCCGTGGTATTAAAGAAAAAATTATTTTGTATTTCATTTTTATGATAAAATTCTATTTCTATAACGATAAACATTTGATTGACATTTAAAAGCTATTTTATAAAGATTTTCAATTTCTCTTTGCGTTTTAGCTTCGATTTTTCGGATAGAATAAAATGACAGGCAGCCTACTCCACTGGGTCGAGTTTTGCTGTACAAATTCCTCCCGTCGGAGGGTTATGTTTACAACATAAGCTTGTCAGCTTTGCGCTGATTGGCTAGTCGCATTTTCTCAAATCACCCAGTATATAACATACTTCCATAATAGCAGAAGGAAGTATTGAAGAACATCACCCTCTAAACCTAAGAGGATGTTTTCTATACTTAAACGAGGAAGACAAACATTTACATTGTTTAGCCATGCTTGCACATCTGCATAAAAACGTTTTGTGATTTTGGAATCAAGAAACAGGTGAAAAATTGGTGTCAAAACTGAGCGTGGATATAATTAAAATTGAAGCTTTTTTGCGAAGTCTTGGGATTTATTGATAATATCGCTGACCGTGTGTGGGGTAAAAATGTCTTTGATAAACACCTTAAATCGCTGGAAATGACAATTCCGAAAATTATTAAGATTTAAAAAAAATTCCGCACCCCCCTATTACGTCGTCGCCGCTAGCCCCCCAAACAAATTCACGCTCCGCGGTCCCTGTCAATTCCAATATGAGTTAAAGCATCTTTTGCTAAAAGCTTCAAAACAAGAAATATCATTTTTTAAGAAAAAATCGAAGTTAGAGAATCTGGACAAATGTCTTGCTCAAATAAAGATGCGGTCACGCAAATGATTTTCCATTGTGTTTACCTTATGAATTATTAATGATTCTGATAAAACAACGATAAGACTGCCAATAATGCTTTTCGGTATTGTTGAAATATTTTATCTTCAGTTGGCAGTTTCAAAGTTTTTCGAAACAGGTGCATCCTGGGAAAATTAATAAAATTACGTAGGTTGAAAACATCTGAATAAACAACTAATTGCTCGAATTCCTGGTCAACATTTTAAGCTAAATGAAAATGTGGGTTCTACGCCTAAAATGATTTAACACCTGTGTACATTCAGCGAACTATATGTTACGTTTAGAATTGTAAAAGTGAATTGAAACAGTTCTCTTGCGCCGGTTTTTAAGTTACTCCACTTTAAGAGCGTGAAGTCGGGCTAGCTATTTTGTAAAATTGAGAAATTACTTGGATTTGCGAATACGTGAAGAGCGAAAGATTTTTAACACCATAAGATAAAATTCGTATCCCAAAAAATAAATGCAATATTCTGACAATCATATAATTATATACGAAAATAAGTTGTAGCGTGGAATACCTTCTAGTTTGTTTATTCACGCACCGCGATATTCTTTTCTGGTGGCTTGGCGCAACGACATCAAAACACCAGAAATATCGATCTAGGAGTGATATTCTGTCTTTCTCAATTTTCATAAATAACTATCCCGACTTCACGCTGTAAAAGCGTGAAGCTCATTCAAAATATGCAAATTTCGTATGATTTAAAAAGATCATGTAAACAACACTTTAGAATTTAACAATTTTTGTTGCAATGTTTAACGTCCCCGATTTATTATGGATTTTAGGGTGTTTTTGAGACTAATATTTCAAAAAATTAAATGTACCCCATATAAGGAGTTGTCAATCAAACTATTGTAGATTCACATTCCTCTCAGTTTGTTTACATCAGCGACGCCCGGTGAATTTGAGACGGATCGCTAAATTAGCCAGCACTCTCTCTCAAATTCGCCCCAAAACCGTTTTTAAGTGATTTTTCGAGTAATTTGCTGCCACAGAAGCCCCTAGGACTGCATTATGAAGCTCGACTAGGCGGCAGAGACACTCTTCTGGAAGAAATCACGGCCGGGAATCGATTTTTCGAAGACAATGTCGCCAATACGGAGTTAGCTTTGAATTGCCGACGTTAGAGAAAGGTCGCCTCCCTAGTCGTTCTGTGGCAGATTTCAGAACCTACCAAGGTAAAATTGGCAAGTTTTAACATCCAAAGAATGCAATCGGTGCAATATTTTGCCTATAGGTGCGAGTGGCTTGGCACTTAAAAAAATCTATGAAAACAGGAACGTTGGTTGCTCCCTGACGAGCTTGAACCACATTTCCCATGATGCAAATCGGCCGTGCAAGTGAGAAATCTGTGTTTGCTGTGATTGGTGTCGAAAAGGGGTCTGTGGCTAGGTCTAGAGACTTCTACAAAACAAAAATGCAGAAATACCAATGCATTCAGGGCATTTCTCAAGATGGCTGACGTTTAGTTTCCAGGATTATACGTTTTTAAAAGAGCGTTAAAATCCCCGCTTTTTGACCCGCTTCGAAAACAATTCATCAAAATCCCGACCCCCTGGGGCAATCTTGCTGTTAAAAGCGCGTTAAAAACGTGTCAAGTCCCCGTTCAGTGTCCCGCTAGCCCCGTTTCTTTTAGTTTACTTTGAGTATTCTTTGAGCTTTTGAGTTCGCTGAACGACTCGTTTCGAAGCTTACGCTCATGACATCTTTTAGTGTTTTAGTGTTAGTCTACCGCGAACGGTGTGTGCATTTGTAAGTTGGTTGAACGTCTCAGCATGTGCTTTTTTCGACATCTTTGCAAAAAACCTCCAAATCTAACGTCGAGCAATTAATCGTAAAGTAGAAAGCACCACCAGCATGTGACAAGTAAGGTAATGAATGTAAAGCATTATGGATATTTTGGTTGGCCATGTGGCATTGGTATTTGTGAAATAAGTAAGCTTGGTCCTGGCAAATCAAGTTCTGCAAGCTTTATGCATTAGATCTCAATTGAGAAGCAGAAATGGGTTGGYTATGAACTTTTTTCAGGGCAATGTTAATACTGTTAGATACCTTTACCAAAAAATTAAAYAGCTAAAGTACCTTCTACTTTCTAAACTTCAAAGATATAAGTGGTTATGAACRCTATGATACGAAGGATATGATTGCTATATTTCAGTTCGATTGTAAATTGAGCCTGAAGAGATAAGACAATCACGTGATTCGGATTAAGTCGTATGGTCGCTTTAGAGGTAGTTACGGTTACAGGTCAAAATTTCCCTCACGTCTCGTCCCAGTCCCCTCAGTAGGGTTGAAACTGTGAAGGCTTGCATAACAACAATTACCAAGATGGCTGACAGTTCTGGAATGCCGTCAGGATTTGACTACGAGTTTGTGATGGAACTAGACGATGAATATGCCTGCCCAATTTGTCATCTTGCTATGCGAATGCCAGTGCTTACGAAGTGTGGACATAGATTTTGTAAGGAGTGTTTAGAAGAGGCCAATAAGAGGTAGGAGATAAATAAATAAATAGAGAACATTTAGCGAGGCCAAGGACATTTCTATTTTTGGCATACAAATAATAYCTATATATGTAACAATATGTAATTGAATTTAGATAGCTTTCTGTATATATAGCTTACTGTGATTGATTTTCTTCTATCTGACTAGTTTGAGCAACATTTTTTTTGGCTTTAAATTTAAACCAACTTGGCGAACACTTTCGATTTTCCAGATGGGTGATTTCAATGATACAAATTATGAAAATCATGTCATAAACAACGACTTTTTGCTGATATTAGACTCTTCTAGATTYAGAAGTACATTTTGATGAAGTAAAGACAAGAAATTCGAGGTTCAAAAGTGGCAATAACATTTAATTATTATAGTTATGATCATATTATATCTCAAATACACCCTAATCTATTGACAAATAAATGTTCGACGTCACGCACATGCAGTAAAGTTGCACTATTATAACGTCACACAACGTGCTACATATATATTTAGTTTCTATTATGATATTTCTTGCTATATATACGCTTACTAATCCAATTATTGTTTAAAAATAATTATGAAAGTTCTGTAAGGATCAATTCGGAAATAAAACTTTATTTGTTTATTTGGTTTCACTTCACAGTCGTCAGAATTGTCCACTCGATCAAGAAGAGCTTGGCCCACAACATGTAAGTTATATTGTTTAGTACATATATCGATACTCTGACTTCTGACTAAGAACGTTTGACTGCTAACAAACATAAATCATAAATATATTTATACATATTCATGCCGTTATTTAGAAGTTAAATTTTTAATGTTTTTAAACTGCAGGATAAGTTATTTCGCCAACTGCAATAACCCTTAACAAGCATAATTTCAAAGAGTTTCTMAATAAATTTCAAATTCGCAAAGAATTTGACTGATTTGCAACCTTGCTATGCTAAGACTTATGAAATTACCCATGATGCAGTTTACATTATATCTACTAAGTGGCCAAAACTTTCGCCGCAGTTAGCTTGAACCGAGGCATTTTTTTCACCCTTAAAGTTTCTTTTTCCAATCAATGTTTTTTGTAAGAGGAAAAATGTACTTTTTGACGAAGCTTCCATAATAACCGTATTTTCGTGTCTGGCTGTGTTAATAACAAGCACACTCGGTAGTACATTGACTCGCTTACCACTTTGTCGTGTGGCTACGGTCCAGYACTACCGAGTTTTTCCGAAACCTGTCGAAACCTGCTTTTTGATCGCTTCCATAGTRCCGAACTTCTATTGTTGGATTAAATTTTGTTTTATGATTTGGAAGAGCATCTACTATTTGTCATTTTTAGAATTCACGAGGGGCAGCGTCCTACCCTTTTGCTTAACAAAAACATCGAAAAATAAAAATAAAAGTAAAAGGGATAACGTGGTAAAAGTGATCTAGGAACTCGTTCTAAAGGCTTCGATAACGATTTTAGTGCATTGTGGATGTGTTTTAGGTGTTTGAAGACAAGGCAACCGAACGTAAAATTCTKTCGTTGAAAGTAAAGTGTCCAAATAAAGGATGTGAATGGCAGGGAGAGCTGAGAAGTGCCAAGGTAATCTAAAGTAGGTGTTGTTTAGAAATTAGAAAGTATTTCATGGTGATGAATTTCATATTGATGTATTGATCTTTGTTACTGTGTTGTGTCGTGTCACGTGATGTACCCTACGGTCCTTAATCAGCATTAATGTAATGTCATTATGGCTAATAATGYGATTTCGAAAAAAACAGTTATATCACATGYCATATGATTAGTCGGAGCTCAGTTTCCCTTCATGCTTTTGTCTTCAAAGTGCATTTTGACTGATGGTTTCATATAATATTATCATGATCAATTCCAAACTTATTAACAATCGCTTATTCACTGGCTTATTGATAGTTGATATCATTTTTTTTCTTTAAAGTCTCACGTAGACGAGTGTCCGCTGACTATTATACCCTGCAGTTACGGGACATTTGGATGTGACTTCAAGGTATGTATGACGTATCAATRAATCACCAATAGAAGGGTTGCCATCTTGAAGTGCTAATTGATTTGTCATGTCGCCAAGTACCAAACCCGAGCGAATACTCCGATTTCGATTTCTTGTTTGCTCTGTGTTAGCCTCAAAACCAAGCAACATATTCTTTTGTTTCATTGATAGCCCGAGAAAACGCATGGAATTTGAAGAGAAAGACAATAGAATTGATTTAAAATCTCACACTTTTATTCTCACAATTAGGAATATTTGCGCGCAAATGAGGCTAACACAGAGCATTGAAGAATTCGAAACTGGATTATTGTTTAGAACTGTTAGTGAGATTGTGGATGTATTATTTAATAGATCTCGAGGGCGAGGACATGAGGTATCAGCAGCTCGTAGTCCASGAGGCCGAAAGGTCTAATTGTTTTWGTATTACCATGCTAGTTGGACAAAAAAGAAATGAATGAAATATATAWWRAACAACATGTTTTCATCGGTAAAGATTCAAATTATATTTCCATAAATTATCACCGATATCGTTTGACACGGTTATCAAAAAGTGTACTATTTTCATATTCGTTTCCAGTCTCCTTTTTAATTTTGCAAGTACCTATTGCCTTAAATCTATTATTTGTCTTTTTTCTTCTTCACTTTCATCTATTGATCTGTTGATATTGCAATTTAGGATCAAAGAAAATCTTTGATTGAGCACGTGATTGTCACACATCTTGCATTTACCGTGGAAAAACTTACGGAACTACTTCAAGAAAATGAACATCTCAAAAAAGAAATCCAAAAAGTGAATCGAGACTACGCGGATATTGCTGCCCAACTTTCGTCAATGAATACAATGGCGCAAGAAGGGAATAGATTACGGCAGCGTTTGTCATACACATGGAAGGTGAACGACTTTGGTCAGCAGCTACAGAACGCTAAAAACCAAAATCGACATGTAAGACTATACTGTGACCCATTTTGCACCCACAAGAATGGATACAGACTTATAATAGAGCTTCATCCAAATGGCAACGGAGAGGGTCTGGGCACCCATGTATCTGTGTATCTCATTATCATGCGCGGTGAATACGATGCTATATTGACTTGGCCATTCCCCCATAAAATCAAGTTCATGTTACTTGACCAGAAACCAGACCAAGCGCAGAGGAAAAACGTGGATTTTACTTGTATCTCTCACACTGGAAATCAAGATTTTTTCAAAAGACCTTCAAATGATTATAATAGTGGTATCGGATGCCCTTGTTTTATTTCACATGAAGATTTAACAAAGGAATCTTACGTTATTGATGGAAAAATTTTCCTAAGACTTGAACTGAAACAAGCCTCTTGATTTTATCCTGTCATAAAGTCGTACTTTTGGCTAGCCAGCTTGTGCACTTAATCATTCGTCTTTAAAGTATGAATAAATATAAATTGAGCAAGCTGAACAATCTAAATATAAGTCCGCCATTTGCTATATAGCTACCAACAAACGTAAAATAGAGCGCAAACACAAAAAACATGAAATATGGTGAAACGGGTTGAAAGATGTCATTGAAACCCATGAAACAAAAATTGATTATATAAAAATGTGATCAAATAAACACACGCAAGAAAAAATAATGTAATTGGCCTTTAACAAAGCGAAAAAGGGACTGGTTCTGAACTTCAAAATCTAATTAAATAATGGTTCCAAAAAGAATAACCCCATCAGGTGAGAGAGAACCATATAAAAGGCTTACTGACTAAGTTTCATGATGTTTGAACTTATAGAAATAAAGTTACGGACATTCAAACCATGTCAAAATTACAGAAATGTATGGTGTCCAGCCAAAGCGTCCAGCCAAACATACATTCTTTGTAATTTTAGTAATTTTTGAAAAATTCTATTTCCATTTCTAATGACTTAAACTTACTCAAATTT